GGGGCAGTACCCTAAACCCTTAACCCTAAATCCCCAAACCCCCAAACCCTAACCCCCCAAACCCCTAAACCCTGAAGCCTACTTAAGCCTAGGTTGGCCGGGAAGTAGGACTGCAAGCCGAGTGTGCAGCTCAGGGCGTTACAGCTGACCTGGACTGCCTAAAGGTTTCAAACGATTGGGTCCACAAGGATGCATAGGGTTTAATGTTTGGGCTTAGGGTTTGGGGTATCTGCAAAAGGGTTTAGGGATTAGAGCTTAGGGACCTTGATTAAGGATTATAGGGTTTAGGGGACTGGGGCATTCCTGCGCATGGTTTTCAATGACTATGGACCTTAAGCCCTATTAATATCGGCTATATGTTCCCTATGAAGCCATAATGTTAAAAGGCGCCTTTTGTAAAGGCTCGTGAAGCTATCCCAGCAGATCCCCGTAAGGACGCGAAACGTGGAACCTCCCACAAATGACCCCTTTCACTACCTTGGCAAGGTTTGGCTAGTTGATTGTTGGGGGAGTATCCGTACTGGATCGCTATACCTTGCAATATAACGTTCAATTACATCTTCCTTTTGGGATTGAAGAATATTGTTACGTGACTGGGTGCTACACAGCTGGCTTGACCGCCGCGGCACTAGATCCAGAGATCCGGCAGCTCTTTCAAGAATTTGGCATGCCTATGACGCAGCTGCATAGGCACGCAGGTGCGTCGAAGCCTTTGAACATTTTTAACTAGTTCACCACATACAATCTGGATGTTCAAGTTCAAAGTGTTAACCACAACTCACATGAAGTTGCGTAGGCGAGGGGGTGGCTAGCGGGCCATATACATCTCCAAGGGATTGCAAGAACAACGAGAGCTGCATCACTGACTATGTGACACATTCTTTTCGCCGTTACATGCAGCAAGCCTGCATTGATCCACAGGCTCGCAACAGCGCTGAGCTCAGCATCAACGCGGTGATCTGTATGAAGTGGGAAGGGCATGCATTTCTCTCATTTTTGTACTGGTGCTTCAGATTTTATTGAACATGTTGAAAGTTGCAGACAGCAAAGCACAATGTCTTGCGAGGTGTCCGGTTTGCCTCAAGAGGCTTTCGGAACGATGACACGTCAGGACATGCCAGACTTCATGCATTGATCCATTTGCGCAGCTCGCAGCTTACAACGGAGGGGGGGCAGGGCGGACAAAATATTCACACCGTCATAAGCGAGCTTATGTAGTTGGAACTTTCATGGTTGAGGGTTAGGAAGCTGGCCAACTGCAAGCTGGATGCCGCACGCCATGGTTCGGTGCAGGAGTTGGTTGAAAACATCAAGAAGGTGCTGCTCTGGAAGGCCGGTCACAAGTTTTGATGGGCATTTCAGGCGCACTTAGTCGGGAAACCCAGGCTTGAAGGTAAATTAGGGGGCCCTGTTTGATAAGTTACCACTTGGGATGTCAGAAGGATGTGGACATGCGCGCGGTCTCCCAAAACCCTCATGATAACGAAAAGGTACGTTTTCCCAATGCATTGTTTTGCTGCCGGTTTTCCGCATACCTCCCCCAGAGGAGGGTTGGAAACGGTTCGCTTAACAAAGCCAAATTCCTTTTTTGCCCTAGAGCTGAATGTTCCCTTTAAAACTTTGAGGTTGTGCTCGAGTTTGTGGTTAGACGGTAGACGGTTAAATGTGAAGCACATCCTTCCTGTTCGAAAGGAGCTGCCGCTTGATGATTTGCAAGAAGAGTGCTTGCGACTCTCTTTATCGTGGAGAGTGGACCAGGCTGGAAAACTTGTGATTTTATTTGCATTGGGTTCCTGCTGTGTTTGGCGTAATGTATTCAAACGAAATGTTACACGGTCGCTGCAGGATGGGCTTTCAAGCCACCAGCAGCAGCAAGAGCTCTGCGAGCGCTTGGTGGGACCCTCAGTTGCGGCTAAGTTGTTGGATCATTTTGGGCTCCAGTGTTTAAAGCTCCTTGAAGGTCCAATTACTTCAGTTTTGGCCGTGGCGCATGTCGAAGTTGTGGCTGCTAGAGCCCGGTTGTATGCCAGGACGAGGTTCTAGCCACTGAGTTTACCAAGCCGCTGGATCTCGAACCAGATTGTTTGCAATCCCTTTGTTCGTGCGTGGGCAGGTCATGGCAACTTGTGCAAAGGCCAGGATCTCAGGATCCAACTCGATGTATTTGTGCCCATGCCTCGAAGGCGAAGTAGCCTTGCTGGTTGCATTGTTGCCAACGTTCATGCTGCCAATCACAACTGCAGACGGCTGAATGTTGCACAGGTTTGGTTGAATGGGTTTGGGTTGGATGCTTGGTTGATTGGGCGCATTGGGTTTCTGCAGCTTTGTGCTTCAGCCAAGTAATTGACCAGACTGCAAGTTTAAGATCGTCATAGCACGCACGGACTTGCCAGACAGAACAGTAGGAGACAAAAAGGATGCATCATGAATTGATCAGGGTTTTGCAAGCTTGTCACTTCAAACGCACACACACACACCATCACTTACAACCTCTACTTGATCAACCCACTAAGTTTCTCGTGTAGCCCCTACCGCCATGTGCCGCGGCCCGAAAACGGGCGAACGGCACGTGCTAACTACAGAGCTAAGCGATGGCGGGTTCCCGGGCCATGTTGTTGAGGCCCTGCAGCAGCGTTCTAAGGGTTCATCATGTTGAATTTGGTCTTCAAGTATGCAACTTATGTAATTACGGCTTGTTTTTAACTCAATGATTTCGTGGAGCCATCCTGGCTGTGTAATGGACAAGGGCGTGATTGCTTGAAAAGATTGCCATACGTTTGAAGGCGATGTCCGACGTTGATTAGGATGAACAGGCCGTTGAATGCTGGGCTCCAGCTCAGGAGATTTTTGTCGCATATGTGTTTTGCTCCAAGCGCATCACGGTTGAGTTTTGTTGAATCGGCTTCGATTGTCGTGACCGTTCTTTTGAACTATAGCCGTCCGCAGGTTTTATCTCCGAGTATTGCTGTTCTTCCCATTCCCAATGTACGCAGCGATCTTCACCGCAGACAGCAGCTTGGCGTGAGATGCAGTGCAGGTTTTGTCCGTATTGCCTAAGATCCAAGTCCTTCTTCCAGAGCATTAAGCATTCAAAGTATTCCGCGGTGACCCCAAGGCATTCAGGGCAAGAGGCGTAACAACAAAAGAAGGCTGTGTTGAAGCGAGCTTGGACCAATGCTTTAATGCTTTGCAGGTGTTGGCACGGCAGTCCCCACATGATGCTGATTGGACAATAAAAGTTCATTTTGTTTGGGCTGGGGTTGCAAGATGTTTCACACACTTCAAGCGACCGTGCAATTTTTTCATGGTGAGCTGTTGGCGGTCCAAATCTTTGGAGAATGCATTCGCGCCAAACGCGAACATCCCAGTTTCAAAGTTTGATCTTGGAAGTATCGTTGAAGTAGTACTGAGCTTGCATAAACAGTATTCCAAAAAGGTTGCAGGTTGGATATGTTTCCGTGGGTGATGTGGTCAGGGAAAAAAATGGACATTGCCAAAACAGCTTGTGCAACGCAAATGAGATGCGAGAAGTTTGGAAATACTGGTATGTATAAGCGTGAGGCTTCCTCAACATCAACTGTACCCCGATTCGCACGCATCCCCAAAGCGCCCATAGTTTTAAATATTGCTGTGTCCAGGCAGTAGCTTTCACAGTTTGAGAGCTGGTGCTTATTTTCGCAAAAGTTTTCCTCGTATTGTGATGTGACCATACTCCAGGATTCCCTGTAGCTGCCACAGCAGGTTCAATAGGGTTTTGCAGCATTTCGCCACATCCTTCTTTTGGGAGTTGTTTATCTGGGAGACGTACTGCTAGCTATTCAGGCTTCTATACGCACATGTCGTCATGTTGAACCCCTTTTTGAAACGATTTTTCAATATCACTTTCCATGTGGTTCTTCATGTCATGGATATAATGCCACCTCAGACCCTAAGTCTAAACCAGTTGAAGGTATGTTGTCGGGCATATTGCAGCATGCAATTGTCCAGGTTGGCTTAGGTGCATGGCACTTTGCATATTTCCCTGCTCAGTGTTACGCAAGCAAAAAAAGCCCCTAGTTACAGCCAAATAAATCCTACAGCCTGGTACAACTAGTATTCGACTAGCCGCACTGACTCATGGTTCATTTACGCAAAGCCTGAAGCCCACAACATCCTAAAGCCTAAACGCCAAAAATCAAAGTGCTAGCATTGGCTGCCTCCCAGGCCATGAGCAACTTGTACTCATGAGTCCTCATGCTGCGAAATCGGAAATCCCAAACCCTGGACCCCAAACCTGCAACCTTCCACGTCCGACCTGGGATTGCCCAGCAGGCACGCTGATGTTTTCTTTAGCCGCCCTGTCTTTGCTGGCCATACCCCTCCACTTCTACTGGATGAGGTGCTTCAGTTTGCAGCTGATGCGTCAAGGGACATCCCTCAAGCTGTTTCGACACACTTTCCGGGCCGTGTTGTGACCATCATCTAGGCTGTGTCGGGCAGTGAGAAAATCCGAGCAACACTTGTGTCTCACGAGACACGTGCAAACTTAATGCTGAAAAGCCAGGATGAGCAAACAGTTTAGGTTGGGATGGGGCTTGTTGTGATGTTGCGCCAGCTGGCCAACCTTCGGAAACAGGACTGCGAGGACAATGTGAAAGATTCTCAGGGTTTTTCAGAAATAGTGGAGGCTGCAGCAACCCATTGCATGCTGAGGAAACGATATGGCCCCTTTCTCACCTTCTTGGTGTGCGTGTACTTGGCCCAGACAGCCCCTTGGTGAAAAAATAGGTTCATAACCCATAAAGCAGCGATGAGCCTGAGTTTAGCTTTTTGTATTCTTGCAAAACATGCTAGGTGTTGAGGTGGTAGCCAGCTCGCACGGGGATTTTCACAAAAGTTGCGGTGCCTGTTGTCATAGGTTGCCCCTAAAATAATTGAGGCCACCCCAAAACAAACTCGAATTTTGACAGCCCCTCCTCACGGGTGGAGGAGTCGGCCTCGACTTTTATTGCTCAAACCAGGTTCGCTGGAAGATTGAGACCCAGACCCTACACTGTTTTCCCCTTGGCGTGCATCTCCTGGCCCAAAAGCCTTGCAACACACGAGAAACGGTTTCTGGAAGGCCCGCACCTGAGGACCTTTTCATGTACTTTGCACGGCTGGTACTAGGCGTGCAATATTTGCAATTGCCTGCCTGCGGCTGAGACTTCCGGTCTGTCTGTGTGGTCCAAGCCGTCAGAGCTCGACCCTAAGCTCTGAAAAAACAAGAGCTTAACCCAAACCTTCAATAGCCTTCAGCCTTCAACCCCAAGCCTGTATTTTGCGCAACCCTAAACCCTAGATACCTCCAAACCCAAAATTCTGAATCGTCCTTCATAACCTTGAGCCCTATAAGCCCCCACACTGGAACCTGAAGCCCTAAATATCCCCGATCCACCAGCCCTCAACCTTCAGCTAGCGCCAAGCCCTAATCCCTCAATCATTAGTAGCGCTCTACCTTGATTCTTTAAGCTAAATACCCCTTTACTTTCAATCACCCCAAACCCTCAACCCTTTAATTAAGATTTCCCTAACAATCCTTAGTACCCCTCAACCCTAAACCCTAAACCTTGAAGCCATCGTGGATCAGGTGCTTTGCGTCACGCTGGGCCACGTCCGCCGCGCAGCGCACCACACGGCCGAGGCAGTCAAACCAGGCAGGGCAATTACTCCAGGCTTTGTTTAACGTATGGGCCCTTCCAAGTAGCGGGTATTTAGACTTTAGGAGGTTTTAGCTTTGGGGTTGAGGGTAACGTGCTCATTGTGAGCTTATACGGGGCTGATGATGGGAATATCTAGTTAACGTTCGCCTTTAAGTGGCTTGAAACTTTGAGGTACTTTTAAAAGGATATATAGGACTATGTACGGATATATAGGAGTTTAGGATTTAGGGGTTCGGGGGTTCGCCTTTAAAACTGTGGGCCATTCAAAGGGGGTTATGTAAGGTTGCGGGTTCATTGGGATGTATACGGATGTATAGGGTTCAGTATTTCCAGAAAACAGGATCCCTTTTTTGGGTGTCCCAAATATCAAAAGTTACGGCATGTTCAGTTTCATTTTGGGTCTCAAGACTTTTTTGGCAACTACCAAGTAGCATTACATTTTCTCACATGTTCTTAGTTAACAGGTAACCTGAGGGGTGATTGTATACGGGGTTTGGAAGGGGGTGGTGGTAGTAGTAGTAGTAGTCGTCGTCGTCGTCGTCGTCGTCGTCGTAGTAGTAGTAGTAGTAGGAGGGACTTAATTAGGGCTTAGGATTTAGGTTCGAGGGTGGAAGATATAGGGTTCAGTTTGTGGGCAAATATTTGGGGGCTTGGGTATCAGGATTCGAGATGAAGCATGTAGAATGGGGACGGTACTACTGGCAGCATTTGCTGGAAGGTTTGGGTGAGCAACGCTACACCGTGCAGGAAGGGGACTCAGCATGAAACATGCTCGGGGTTTGATTGAAGTGCAGAGGCATTCGCACATGAACAGTTGGACTTGATAGGGGTGTGATAGCAGCCAGTGCGGGTTAGCTTGAATGGCATGGTAAAGTTCAGGGCTTCAGGTATTTGCGGGGGTCCAGCTCAACCAACTTCCCAATTCTTCAGACCCCAACGCCCCAAGAGTTAACTCCCCAAATATAGTTCAGCTGCGCTGTTCGGCGTGCACTGTGATGGTTTGATTTCCGCTCCAAGGCATGCATGGGTTTTGGATTTGACCGCGGGCTTCAGCCCGAAGATTTGTCGCTTTTGGCTTCGCCTCGGCCCTTAAGAATATGTCCAAAAGGTTTTTGGTGGAGTGTAGCAAGCATGCGTTTCAGAATCCGCTGCACCTGGCAGATAGCCCCATCAAGACCATCTCTGTTGTCATGGCGGCGCACAACGAGCACGCATATTTGAAGCTGCTTGGCAAGCAGGACGGGTGAGCACAACAGCAAGACCTGATTTCGATATGAGTGCTCAAAGTTGTCTTTTAGGCTGGCTGTGAAGTATAATTTGGGGAGGGGTGGTTTGGATGTGTGAGTTTGCCTGTCGACATTGCTTTTGCAATTGCACAGTTGGGAGGTAAGGCGAAATAGGGGACCAGTTGTTGTTTCCATTTTCCATATACCACAATTTACTTGTGCAATTGCTACCTGCCCCTCCCAGCAGCAAACAGCTACCCGGTGCGGAACGTTTATGGGAGTAGAGTAGCAGGGCTTTCAGATCCCTATAAACCCCTATATAATCCCAGTTTCCATTTCATTGTCCATTTTCTTTTCCATTTGATTCTCCATTATAGGGGGTAATATCCCTATTATTGTAGCTATATAACCCCCTTGTTGTTGAGCCCTAAACCCTAAACCCTAAACCCTAGAAGTGTAGCCTCCAAGGCGCACCCTCGATTCCGTATTGGAGACCACGCCGCCAGAGACCTTGGCAACTCGTTCCTCCAAAGGGGCAACAGTCGTTTGGGGGAGCAGGACTCAGAATAAATTGTGCCACATGATTCCATGATGGTCTTGTATCCTTTTGCATTGAGCAAGTTTTTACAATCCAGCCAACCATTGTCAAATCAAACAGCAATCTTGCAGGGGAAGTTCACGAGAAGGCTTGTTGCAGAGGACATCGTACACTGAAACAGGAGGGCTGTTTGTACAAGAGGCTGGTGCATCCCAAGTTTCCTATTCAGCATGAAAGCAGGCAATGTGGGCATGGTATTATAGTAGCCCCCTCTGGAGCTCTGGGCGGGGCCAAGTAGTAGGAGAAAGAGGAGTAAGAGTAGAGATAGGAGAAGGAGGAGCAGGAGAGGATTTCAACTCTATTTCAATTGCGAGCTATATATTTTACTGGCTTTGGGGCCTGGGTACTTTATTGTCGCACCCGTTCTATAAAGTCACCCTGGCCACTTAACATATACGGATAGGGTATATCAGGAAGCCACAGGTTTGCAATTCAACTCAAACAAAAAACGCTAAATCTCGTGATCTTCTCTGGCCGTCACCCAGTGATAACAGCGGTGCTCAGAATAGTTGTTTTTCAATCAAAGTTCATGCATACAATCAACAACGTTGGTGAACTTTCACATTAAGTCGCTGTTTTATCAGTTGCCCGCTGCATGAATTGCTTGATTTGCAGCACCATTGCTAACAAACATGTTTCGCATGATGGCGACGCTGACGTGAGTGATGACGAGAGCTAGAGCTGTCATGGCAATAGTTGTCACGCTCGCCGTGGGCGTGGGTGGAAGTGCCAAGACACATAGGCCCTTGCGCGCCACCCCTCAATATCCAAGGATTTGTGTGGCGCATTTCTTGTTATCATATCATTATGGGCAGATGGTTGATAACTCTTAGGCGGCGACATACACTGCTGCACATCAATCTTCAGCTTCGCTTCTTCATTATGATTTCTCACCCCTTCACCAAGCTGGGTTAGATGACTTCTATCCACGGGGCTAGTTAGAGCCCACTTGCCCGTCAGCTTTTCCTGCGTTCATGCTGCATGAAAGGATTTCCCACTGAGGCGGAGGTTATACATTGGCATACAAACTTCCCAAAGCAAAATCGTTTGGCTGTTGGTTTTGGCAAATGTCCTGGAATCCTTTTCCCAAATTTCATCGCCAAGGCATGTTAGGGAGGCATTTTTTGGGAGCCCGCAAGTCGCAAACCCTCACAGTTTTACTCCCTACTGTTAATTTTGTATGTTGAGTGCATCCTGGAGTAACTTTCGACCCCGAAACAGGCTACTGCAAGGCTAATGCCGCTCAACCATGGTAGAGTTTCGAAACGCAATCCTAAAACTTGAGCTCTTAAGCAGTCTGAATCCCTGAAGCCTGAAAAGCAGGTGGAAATAATTGTCATCGACGACGGCAGCGAGCCGCTGTTAGAGCCGATCACAAAGAAGTACGCTCAAGTGAAATTGTCTTGGCCCCAGGGACTGAGGGTTTAGGATTTTCAGGGTTTGGGGTGCATGGGTTTCGGGTTTAGGGTTTCGAAAGTACGGTATGGGATGCGGGGTTTAGCGTTCAGGTATAAAGTCGGTCAAGGCTGCAAGGTATGTATTGTAGGAGAGCGTCTATTGGAACGTTTCTGGTCGCTGGAGCGAGAAGAACACGGGAGGTTTACGTACTGTTTCTTGTTTTTGTCCTTTGGAAATTTGTTCATTTGCACTCTGCACGGGCTTTGAACAGTCCAGCCTTCATCATTTGTTTCCAGGGTTCCAGTTCAGTTGAAAGTCTCAAGCAAGAATTACCCCATTGGATCCCATTGGAACATTCGTGCAATCCGTTCATAGACTACGCAGTGTTGAACAACATCCGGATACGTGGCGTCCCTTAAAGGTAGATCTGATCACTCCTAGAGAGTATTAATTGTATTCCGCACATCCTGTATAGTCTTTCTGCTGATGGAGAACTATATAACCCTAAGCCCTACATCCCCCAACTCGAGGCCTTAAACCTCAGCTGCTCAGCTTTCCCGAGGATCCGCCATGACGTGCGGCGCGGGCTCATAAAGTTTCTTGGGTTGCAGTTCGTTGGGGTTAGGGCTTTGGGATTTTGAGGTTGGTGCTCTTTGTGGACTTGTGGCGGGTATGGAAACAGTACGCCTTTGGTTTGCTGTTATCCGGAGCATGTGCCTTGTTTAGAGAGAAGATAGCTCTACTGGACTAATGGTGAGTAAGTGTCTTATTTAGCACCTGGAGCATCAAAGTCCCACCCCTTTTGCGGGCCGATCCGTGCTATGGGGTGGGAGGACTTGCGAAATTAGGGCGCAGGCCCGTCAAAGTGCCTTGGATCCGAACACCTTGCTGATCACTAAATGCGTTGCGTACCTTCAGTTATGAAAAGATGGTCGTTACTTAGGCAAGCCCTTTATGAAGCAAAGTGAGGGCCCCCGCAATCCTCTTTCGCAATCCTCTTGCAATCTTTGCCTTTTGGAGAAAACCTGCATATCCCACCATAAAAACCATATTGGAGCAGCCTCTACTCCAAGACTTTGGAGACGGCTGTTCCAAAGGGTTTCGGTCAGCAGGAGTAGGAGCCCTGTACATACAGGATGTAATGAGCTTACTTGGGCCCTAAAACCCCAATATTTGGGTCCTTGGACCCTTAGGGTAGGCGTGAACTGGAGATTTCCTGCGTCAGCGGGTCAAAGTTTGTTGGCTTATTTGATGTGTTGCCGCCCCTCCACCAACGGCAGCAGAACGACTGTTTTGACACTTCCCACATCATGGGTGGGTAGGGCTTCCTGACATACGGCATCCTTTGCGAGCTGCGAGAGGGCAGGCAAAAAGTGTTCTATTACCGTCTTCTTGCCATTCGAAGATGTGCTTGGGCTTGGGCGTAGCACAGACATGTCAGCTGAGTCATGCGGATATACTACATTGAGCTTGCAACGCTCCCGAGGTCAAAAGTGGAGGGCGGCAACCTTGCGACAGGGGACATGTCACTCAGCATATCACAAGCTGAGCTTTTGACTAAAACTATGGTTTGCATGCTTCTCGTTCCATCTCTACACTGCAGACTCTAGCGAGTTCAGTCATTAGTCATTTGTATTTTCATCATATCTTGTAGTTGCCAAGATGACCATAGCTCGTGGCCACAAGTCTGACTGTCGAACGCCGAAGCTGAGGATCATGTTCCTGGATGCGCACGCGTCTCGCCTGCAAACTGAATTGCACTTACCCACAGCCTTGGCAAGTAGCAGCAGTCTCCGGTGTAAAAAGCGTTTTTAATATCAAATTCTGCCGTGATGGTTGTCCAGTATACTCTCCATGGCAGGTGCTGTATTGCAGACCATTTCAGACCCACCCGGCCATAGTTCCACAAGAGGCAATGCTGCCAGAGCAACCCCTGCCGCCTTTGAAAGCCCCAAGCCGAGAGCGCTTGCGTCAGAAGCGGCAAGCGAGTGAAAACTGAACGCCTTGGGGAAGAGTCCGGTAAATTTCAATGACTCTTGCAAGGTCAAGCCTACCAGAAGCATCTTGGCAGCAGCGTGAACATGGTTTGGAAGGCTTAGCCATTGAGTTTGAAAGGCAGCACAGCCATAACGTCATTAGAGGTGCCATGTAACATCGATGCAGCAAATTTTCTCTCGCGGGCCCGAGCTGTGGGAAACGCTGATTATGTTGCAGGGTTTTTGGCAGATTTTGGCTGAGGCTGGTATCATCCGATACTACGCGCTGCCCTCAGTCGGAGATGACTTGGAACTGAGAGATATTGAGAACGATTGGGAGGAGCGAGAGTATTTTGCACACTGACAGGCCCAATCCCAAGCAACGCTCCAACAGGTCAGTTCATGTAGGCAGAAAGCCCTCGGAAAAAAAAACAAAGCAGATTGATGTGAACTGACTTCTGTCATCGTGCGATACTTAATATACAGCCTGTTGACCTGAAGAGTTGGTCCCACATGTTTTTGCCGGCTTCATGTGCCCAGGGCATGTCAACATCAACTACAAGAGGGTGGTTGAACCGCGGCTGCAGTCAGCATTTGCTGTGCGCATTTGTCGAAATTTCGGTTTCTCATGATGTTGTTGATTCTGTCCACGGGCTATTGATGAGTTTGACGCATATATGCCCTCCACCAGACCCATTCTCAGCCCTTATTTGCCGTCCGTATGTATGTCTACATTTTTCTGGAGTGTGTTTCGCCGTGGGGGCCATTTTAAGCATTAGACGAAAATCTGAAATCCCTGGGTTATATGCTTTTTACGAACCCCACAAACGTGGGCCCTCAGAGCGACATTTTCTATATGTATATATATATACATCTATGCACATGCACATGCGTATCACCCACGTACTAACGGTGCTGCGTTTCCAGCTGAGGTGCCCATGATTCCCATCCTGGATGGCTTCTGGGACAGGATTTCAGACAGACTGGCTTTGCGAGCCTGGCTAGATCTTGGTTCTCAGTGCAGATACCCACGCAATCGTAGCGATAAACGATGTATGGTGATCAAAAGAAGGTTCATGATGACATGAAATGCGCCTAGTAGGATTCTATTGAGCTTCTTTTGAGAGACACCTACACATTTTTTGGACAGGTTCCTTTTCAAGGGAATCCAAGTTTCGGTTCATGCTGGCGAACAGTCCCGACCAGGAAAGCGCTTGTAGTGCTAGCAGCTGCACAGCTCAGTTCGCCGAAAAGCTCACCATCGCCAGCATTGGTGCTGTCATGATTTTTGCGGGGACGGGGTTCATTTTCGTATCTTTTAATGTATCGCTGAGCTGCTAGGCCTGAAAACTTGTTTGCGGAAGAGCCCAGACGCTGAGGAGAGAAATGGACAATCAACAGCCGCGCAGTTGGAGAAGCATGACTGCATGTCCAGCTGTGTGTTGCCCAAGGTTCTTGTAGATTCCTTGCGCAAAACGTTGTTTAGGTCACAATTTCGTTTAGCTCCCTGCTTTCTGCTGTCGTGAGAACTGATGAACACGCATGCCAGGGACAGCGACAGCTGATTCTGACGCGCACATTTTTGTTCACGTTGCTGCATTTAGAGCAGGTTTGTCATTAACCACGGGATTTGAGGTCAAGATGATGTTCGACTGGAAGCTTCATTTCAAATGGTTTGATGATGGAAATGACCTGGTGCCATGCATGAGTGGCGGACTCTTTGGCATCACGAGCCTTGGATGCAATTTCACCTACCGATCGGTCTTTCCCAAAAATTGCTGCCCAACAAAGCAGCTAAAATACTGTTGTCCCGTTTGTGACCCCGGAAGAGGCACCATTCTCTCATGTTGAGCAACACGCAGTTTGGGCCCGGATTGAAACTCCGATTGAAGGTTCAGAGTAATCAAGCGCAGGGTTGTTGCTAATGTTCGTATCTATAGCCATAATCGCTACTGCAAAGCTTGTTGTGTGCATGTCCACTGATCCACACGCAAACATTCAAGTGCACTTGTTGTTTTGGGTCCCTTCGCTGCATTGGAGGCATTTTCTATGAAGACTACCTTTCAGCATGACAGTGATGATCATTTGTGGTGGCGGTGGTGGTGGTGGATGGAGGTGGAGGGAGGGTACCACCCAAGTTAGAACCAAGTAATATCTTACATAGTACCTTAAAACCAGACATGATGCTCGTATTTCATAATGTATTTGACAAGGAGGATCCAAGAAGGCCACCAGGAAGCCCAAGGCCATTAAACTAGTGCATATGCATCTAGATTCTGGCCATGTAGAGATCCCAGCGTCAGGTTTGGGTGTTGATCCCTTTTCCATTCCTGGGAGGAATTTTGGGGTTTAGGGTTCAGGGTTGCACCCCTATAACCCGCTCGAGAAGCCGCCATGTGCACACCCCCGAAGAAGGTTCTTGCTCAGTGGTCGGATTATCATCTTAACCAGCTTCTCATCCTGCCATAAGCATAGATAGAGCCTTAGATCCACACAAGCCCACAGAATTGTATGATGTGGCTGAAAAGGTTTGCTTTTACATAAGGATGCTGTTCATACACCCAGAAACGCTGATATGTCCAATGCACGCGTTTCATATACATGTGATCCTGTTGTGTGCCAACTCGAAATGAGTCGAAATGAGACACAGTCAGTATTGTTTGTAGAGGGAATAGACATGGGTGCGGGGGGGCTGGGGCGCAAGGGAATATGAGCAGTCGTTGCCAAATGCTTACACGGAATCTCCTGCCCGCCGCCTGAACTCCCTTGCCAATGAAATGTTGACAGTTGCATTGCACAAGTTCGTGGCAACTAAGGAAGCAGTGTTGGCACAAGAGAATCTCCATACAATCCTTTCCGCTGAATATAAAAGGGCACCCCTCCCCACCGGGGTATATATGCGAACCAGTATGTCGTGGGGGGGGAGGGGGTGGGGAAGGGGGGGGGGGTGTATATCAATAGGACCCGAACATGAAAGGCGGGTATTTAATGATCATATTGAAGTCCAATAGAAGCATCTAATAGCTTTGGGAAAATCGAGTCAAAGTTGTAATGCAAATCAACTACTAAACTTTGACATAATCCAAATAGGATCAGTTGAACTCTGCTTAAAACCCAAGCAACACAGCCAACGTACAATCAATTTGAAGTCGTAATCTAATCCACACGGAAGCTAGATAAAATCAATTGAAATCAAGTGAACGTTTACTTACAATCAATTGATAAGACACATTATTTTTTCAAAAAGAACAAATGAAATTGCAATCAGAGTTTACACAAAGTCCGGTAGAAGACCATTCACAGAAACTCAAAGTCTCAGAAATCAAGGGGCTCCATAATCCGTAACAAGTGTCATCCACCCAACGCAGAGGTTCCGAGCCGTAATTAAGTTAGTCTTGGCCTTTTAAAGGTAGCCTTGACGGGACCCTATAATCCCCTTGTACTCCCTTATACCCCTTGGGTCGCTAATGGCCTAAAGCCTGAACCCTAAACCCTGTTCATGGAGGAAGCAGTGGTGGCACGAATCTGGAGAGCGCCTTGTGTTCAGTGATGGCATTGAACGTCGTGAGGCTTATACTGGAGGTTCTCAGAACTATTGGTCCATTGTGTGTGTTTTTTGATGCCACTTGTACTCTGAGGGGTCAAGAATGGCTCTAAATGTTAACAAACCACATAGAGCTGTAAATGTGTGAAATCGGAGGTAATGTGGGGCTTGCCATTCAAGCGTTTCCAAGACGTAGAGATTGGCGATTCATGGGACGTAGTAACTACTTGTGACGGGAATAGTGACGGCTTGATTCGAATACAAAGCCTTTCGCGGAGTTGTTTCTGAGACTTGTCAAATTATGTAGGACTTGCTATGTGGATTAACCGCAACATAGCCTGACACTCCATCTTCATATTTGTTCGGAATTTCATCATGTTGGAAGCGATGCAGAAGAAAAACATTGCGGTTTTTGCGGGGACCCAAGACCAGAAAAATAAAAGCACATATCGCATCTCAAGATGTGGAGATGCAAGCTACAAAAGTCCGCCAATCCTGTTGTCAATCGTTGGCACCGTTCCATCCCGATGTTGGTTTCCTCAGGTTCGCGTTTGCGCCATAGCCATGAATCAGCCAAAACTTGCTACTTCCCTTGCCTCATTTGCATTTAATTATTCTTTGCTGAGGAAATGGGGCGGCTTGGTTTCCCCGATCTAGGCCTTACATAGCCCTTACATACCTCCCTAGCCTGCCCATACAAGCCCTATATACGCTTTATGTAAGGTACTCACCTGATAACCTTTCAGATCTAAAATCTTTTCAGATCTTGGCTCGTGAGGTACGACTATGGCATGAACATGTG